AAAAAAAAAAAAAAAAAAAAAAAAAAAAAAAAAAAAAAAAGCCAGCAGCTCCCTCAGCACCGAAGGGAGACTGCATCACACACCAGCCTATCCATTTTTCAAGACAAGCTCATGATGTTACATTCATGCTGTTTACTCAGTCTGGCCAACACCGGAGTCCCTGACTCCGCTGATGAGGTACAGAGGGCAGTCCCATCTGTTGGGCCAGAAGCACAATAAATAATTTAGACCAGGCTCATTTTATGTAATAAACTTTCTTCCCTCTCTTCTCTTTTAACTCCAGTCCTGTATATGATGGATCAAGAATGAGCTTGTTTATCTCTCTGTATGCGCTCTGCCTGACAAATGTTGATGCAATGTCTTTATACATAAACACCGTTTTTTGTTTCAGGTTGGGTGTGTGAGGTCTTTTCCTTGTGGGGTGGAGGAGCATGGAGAATAGTATGGAGAAAAATCAAACCATAAAGCACTTCATAAATTTAAATTCATGAATGCCTTTAAGTGCAGCATGCCAGACTCTCAGTTGGTGTAAATATGTGTCACTCTCATTATGTAAATAGAGATTTGCTGATATATAGCAGCCAGGGATGGGGACTTCAACTTTTATTTGATGCAGTGCTCTAAAATGCCATGCTGAGTGCAAACACTAGTGCAATATTTCCAAGGGAACGTTTAAACTGAAACCTCGGTGCGTTAGCGCTTGGGCTCCTCCAGCAGCAGACAGTGACAGAGTGGTGCCCAGCAGCCCACAGTACTGAGCCTCAAAATTTGCCTCAAGTCTCTCTCTAGGATTATTTTTCTGCCATTTTCAGCCCTGGTTGGAAATTACGCAACAGGAGATCTTTCTCACAGTATTTGGGGTCTTTAGTTAAGGCAGCGCTTGCCCTCTGATGGAAAAAAGGGCACCCTGAAAATGTCAAGCCTTTCAGAACCCCAATAAGGATTTTAGGGACCTATCATGCTTCTGAGACGCAAAACTGTCTTCAGGGGGAATAAGTCCTTTGGGACGCAACGACTGCACGGTCTCGGAAGATATAGCTCTTGCTTTGCGAGCAGCCTTCCCCCAGAGCACCCAGACACCCCAGATATCCAAACACACAGCGGGGTCAGTGACGGAGCTGCAGTTTGCTCTAATGCTGCGGTTCATCTCGTTCAAAGGAGCACATTTTCCCACTTCCTTCATTCCAGTCCGGAGTACCCATGAAATAGCTCTCTGGTCTCTCCTAAGTGCCATATTTTCTGCTTCCCACTACTCAAAGAAACCTGCCTAAGTCATCCTAAACCGCCCTCCCCCCAGATGAGTCCTCCGAAACCTCCCACAAACAGGCTGCTCTGCAGCTTTGCCGGTGACACAAGCTCTTCTTCGTGTTGTAAAATAACTGGGATAAATGAACAAAGTGACATGATGAATAAAACAGAGCTAAATGAGTGTTGGCCAATATTAACATAGCTGAATATTGTTGGTATATTAATTCAGTGCACCTGCCTGATTGCAAATAAGTCTTTATCAGATGCAGGCATAGAAAATGTTCCTCACTGTACATATATAAGTGTCATGTAAATTCATGAGCTATATACAGGGTTAATAATAAACAAATTAAAAGAGGAGCTGCTCTAATTGAAAAGGAGTATTTTAATACAGTTGCAGTTCCCAGCTCTGCAAGTTCATCACTTCTCTATGCACAAAATGTTGTATTACATTCTGTTCTGGACACTCAGAAAAGCGGGATGTGCCGTCTGTGCTAGAATGCAAATTCTGCCTTTCATTTCAGGATGTGGAGCAGCATCACGAGGGACAATGTGTCTGCTGCTGATCGGCTTTCCATGGCTGCTGCAGAGGAGCCTGGCCAGCAAATGTCTGCATCTGCCTGGACAAATGGCAGAAATACAAACTCCCTCGTCACCAGGGTCAGCATCCATCCCATCAGGCAACCGAATTCTTTGGACCAGAAGCAGCACATCAAGGGGAGAAGAAGAGAAAGCTGGGCAACCTGTAGGACACATGCAGGATGAAGACCCACCAAGAGCCTGATGAAGCCGCACAGTTCTTTTGACTAATCCTAGACCACTACAAGATGCAAAAAAAACTGCTGGGACCTTACCCAGCTTGCCTGTCCTCTATGAAGTCTAACACCCAAGGACGCAGAGCCCTCCCTTGGTCCTTCTGCTGGAGTAGTGCAGGAGGAACCAGGACCGCAGCATCTCAAGGGTTAAGCCAAACTCTCTGGGCAGTGGCCCTGGCTCCTGGCCATGGGCTGAGCCCACAGCTGCGTATTGACTTTCTGAGCTTGCAGGCACCCGATCAATGGAGCAGTCAGGGCCTCTCGTTCTCAATCATGTCACAACCACAAGAAACGTTATTACTGTTTCATCAAAAAAACAATAAATACACCAGGAGCACAAATGAGGTGGGGGTCTTTACAGCAACGCTCCAGGGGGGATGCGGGAGCACAGCAGCCAGCGGACTCCAGCCAAGCCCCTAGAGACCAACAAGACAACAAAGTGCCTTAATTAAAACAAAACAAAAAAAACCCACAGAAACCAAACAAAAACCCAGGGCCCAGGTTAAGGTCATTGCCACAAGAATGCCCCAACACCTGAGTAATCACCTCAAGCACACCTTAAAACCATAGCAGAGAGTTCCCAGTGCAGGCCAGCAATGATTTTATTTCTCTCAGTGGCTATATTTTGCACTGTGTGTGTCATCGGGCCGGGAAGTGAATAATGAAGGGTTTGGAGCCAGCTGGTTGCTTTGTCCTCCAGCAGGCAGGAAAGCTGGGAACACGACCCCTCCTGTTCATGCCCCCAGGGAAGGCAGCCAGGCCCCAGGGGTCCCAAATCCACACCGATGGGATGGTAATTTGGAAAAGCATCAACCTGCAGAGGGGCAGTGTCCCATCTCTTGCTTCTTGCTGATGAGCAGGTGGGGTGGAGAACCACCTCAATGGGTGGGAGAGGAATGATACTCTACAAGTTAAGGCACAGTGCCTCAGTCTTCACTTAACCCATGCAAAGAGCCAGGCCAGGAAGGACTTCAGGGAAAAATAGTCAGCCTTTCTGTCTAATTGGTGGTTTCATATTTTGATACATCCCTTCTTGCATCCTTGTGTACAACTACGCTTGGTCACCTCCCGAGGTGCCTCTGCTGGCATTTCCATGCCTGCAGCCAGGCCAGGAGCAAGAAGAAATGAAAACCAGGGGGTTTGACGCACACCTGATGGCCACCACAGAAGAAGCCATGGCAAACCTCTGGCATCGCTCCTGCATTAAAAACAAGGCTAAAACGAGGCTTGGTAGTGCAGAGATCTTGTTCTAACCCTCTGCAATAGAGTGAATTCTCCCTCCTATTCTTTCTAGGTCTTACGTTACTCAATTAAGACAAAAAAGTTTAAAAAAAAAGAGAGAGAGATAAGCAAGGCTACAACACAAATCCTTAACAGCAGTCACAGCAATTAGCCATGCTAAGACACACATCAGAACAGCACAACACCCCTTTACCTATCCAGACCTTTGCATTTGAACCTGGTCATGGGGCTTTTCTCACCTTGTCCAGGCAGAATTCAACCAAAATCTGCTAGAAGAGTAGGAATCCCTACACACAGAGAGCCTGGGTCACCCCACCTTATCCTTCCCAGGCACCCAGGAGGCAAACGGGATGCGGTTCCCCATCTGGAAACCAACTGTTGGATCGGTGGAGGATGCTGTGGTGCACGTGAGCCTGCCATGGGTAGCGGGCTGCCTTATCTGCCAGAAAAACGTGCTCAGAACCTCAGTGATCAGATTAGGGAAGCGTTTGCTGATAAGCACTCCCTTCCTTGGAAAGGTGTTTTGCATTTGCTGGGTGACAGCACCAATAGCAGCGGGATGTTGTGTGTTCGGGCACATCTCCTGTGATCTGTGTTGCTGCTGCTCTCCTCCCTCCGGCGCTTTCCAGGAGAAACTCTGGAAAAACAGACCTCCAACCAAGCCTGCCTTCAGAAACCCACCTGTAGGCACGTCTTTGCCCTTTTTAACAGGACTGTCAAAATGCCTCGGGCCACAGCAAGCCACAGATATAGGCTGGCACTAGGACTGCTAGGAGCCCCATTCCCCAGATGAAACAGCAGTACGCTGAAAGCTATTTTAAAAGCGTATTTGACTGCACTCAACATCAAGATGCACCAAGGCACCAAGATGGTGTCAAGCTCCAAGCCCCATTTGTTTTGCTCATGCAAACCTGCTGAAATCAATGAATTTACTCATGCAAAACGATTGCTGCTGGCACCCACATCGCCCTGTGCCACTGCTGCACCGGCCTGCAGCCTCGCACGCCACTCCGCTGGGCTGCATCGAGACAGGAGCCGCTCTTCTCCTGCCAACACAGCCCCCGTTTTGGTGCTCCGCCACCCAAACCAGTATTGCTCAAGGGCGCTGCGTGCACCTCTCTAGTTTCAGACCCAACCCGAGCTGCTCTGGCAGCTGAGGCTGATCCCTCCTCAGCCTCTGTGCAAAGCCAGAGGCCATGTGTGCAATGGTAAATCTTCCACTAGATATCAGGCCAAAATTCCCCCTGGGTGCAGGGCTGGGAGCGGCATACAGCCTGGTCCCCGGCTGCCCAGGCAGCTGCACACGGATACCCGCTTGCCTGGCTGCCTCTGCCGGGGAGGGGGAATAGGCTTGAAGTGTGGGTGAACAAAAGCACGAGGAGCGTATTGATACGAGGGTCATTTCAGAGACTCAGCTCGGGCAGCGAGGAGAGCAGGTTTTAATTTTTGGCGTTGTCAAGCACATGGATTGCTGCTTGAATGAAGCTTATGCACTGCTTACTAACCCGAGGCTCCAGTTCAGCAGCTCCTAAAAGCCAGGTCGTTTCTGATCCCAGGTGAGGCCACAGCAATAACAAATAAATATACAACTCTGAACAAAGTGCAGTGCTAAAGTACGGGATTTAGGGTCACAATCCACAAAAGTGCTTGGGAGCAGCTGCCTTCAATGAGACACCCCAATGCCGGAGGCTTCTACAGGCAGCAAGCAGTTTACAAAGCAGGAGCTGCTAGGGACAAAACTGATTTACAGTAACATCAAAACCAAACATGCAAAACCTAAGTTACTGCATTGCTAAAGCACACAAATCAGTCTCTAGCGCTTGCTGGTACAGACCAATAATCTACCTACAGAAAAGGCGAGCTGCTGCACAAGAGCCACCTTCCCACCCGGAGCAGCCTGGGACGCAAAGCAAGCGTAAGGAAGGACCTGCAGCAGGGGTGCTGGCATGGCCTGGGACCATCCTGGACCCAAACAAAACCAAACCCTCTACCAGGACTTGCAATGCCAGCTGGAACGAGGATGCAGAATCACCATTAAACTTCATTTTACAGTACTAACAGCTATTTTGTGTGTTTGCTTATCCTGTTTTCCCAGTGCCACAGCCCAGTTCCTACATCAGCATGAGCAGGCACGTGCCAAAGGGTGCAAACGGAGAGCAGAGGGTTTGTCAGCCTTACTCTTGGTTTTAACCTAGAGAAAACTGCTTAATGCATTTGATTAGCGTGGCTGTTCCCCAGCCCTTTACCCCTGGATGCAAAGGTCTGCTCTGTACCCTACCATAAGCTCCTTTTGGGGCTGACTCAAAGAAGATCGCTATTCACAGGAGAAACAGTATTGTAGGGCTCCAGTGATATGCCACAGTCCCATTTTGCCCACACAAAATGAGCCAAGGCTTCAGCCAAAGAGGAGAAAAACATGAGTACTCACTCTCTCCCCAGGGTCACCCATTAAGCCCACAGGTCCAGTTGGTCCTGGAGGTCCTGGGAGGCCCTAGCATAGAAAACGCAGGAAAAAAAATAAGCTGCTAAGGAAAAATACATTATTATTATTTGTACAACAAGCGGGGAAAGAATTAGAGCTTTCTGTTTATTTTTGCACCAGAAAATCGACCCTGAAGCGCTCTGTACACATGCATGGCATATGGAAGCAATAGAGCCCAGGAACAGCTGTGCACCGAGCCCTGCACGTGCATCCAGCACCCTGGAGCCGCGCGCATCCTTCGGTGCAAGGTGTAGACAGAGTGCCACTTACTGCTGGGCCTTCAGGACCGGGTGGGCCTTCCACCAGCATACCCTAAGCAAGAGGAAAAAAAAAGTGATTAGCAAGGTACATCCTCAAAGTCACTTTGACTACAGGGCTGGAAAACCCGATGCTTTATTCTGTTCTTAAATATTTCAGGCCTTGCTGCTAGGTCTAGGCATCCCAGAGCTGAAGGTTTCCACTTTCTGGATGGTATCTCCTGTGTCCCCATTGCCAGAAGCACAAAAGGCACCGCCCATTGCCAAGTCAAGTGCCACCTATTTGAATCACGAAGGGCACAGCAAAAGCCCCTTCCCCCAGCACCAAGGCCACCCTCGCCCCAGCATGGGGTCACCTTCCTAACCACAACCCTTCTCCCTTAGCTCACGGCCAGGCAAAGGGCAAACCCTGGGGCACGTCCAGCCTCGATGGTGCCAGAGCAAGAGAAGAGCTCCTCTTCAGGAAGAAGCTGTTTCTAGATCCAAGCAGCTCAAAAAAAAGTTAATAATCAAATTGCAAGTGTTTTTTTCTTTTTTTTTTTTAAATTACTTTCTCAGCAGACTGCATGCCGTGATTTACTCTGTGTACCTAGGAAATCACTGTGTGGGCAAAATGGTAGAATAATGTTATTCCATTCCTTTTAATCTAAATATTTTGTCATAACTTTAAATCAGGTCTATCATGAACTCAGTAGAATTGAGCTTTTATTTTTTTTTCCCTCATGGGTATGTAAGAGGCAGGAAAGAAACCTCCTAATAAACCTAGCAAATAGTTTCTAGAAGGCATCAGGACGATTTGTGGGGAAGAGCCCCACAGCAAAGCACTGCCCTTTTATTTCTGGACCAGTGCCCATGCACCCAGCAGCACCCAGGTCAAGCCAAAGGAGTCCCAGCGCTTGCCAGCTCATCTGTAGCAAACAAGGACATTTCTCCTATAGGATGAAATCAGCCTGTAAAAATCTGCAGATAAGCAGTCGGCTCGTATAGGAGAAACTCAGAGAAAGCAAGTGCAGGGACCGGTCTCAGGTCACCCTTGGCCGGTCTGCTGTGCTCAGGCTCTGGTGCCAAAAGCCTCGGCTGACCCCATGGCAGCCACTGGCCGA